GAAAAATAGAGAACAATTCACTCCGATCTTTCATAAGATAAATCCATGTCATCCTTGAAAAGTCGTCAACAAAAATTACAAAATACTTATAGCCATTGTATGACATCACTTTGATCGGACCCCAGACATCAGAATGAACTAAAGAAAAATGACTCAAGACATGACTATCAACTCTTGGACTAAAAGAGACTCTATGATGTTTCCCAAGCTGACATGACTCACAATCTAGAGATGAAAGATGACTCAAGGAAGGAACCAACAAGTTCAGAGCCTTGAGAGAAGGATGACCAAGTCTGCAGTGCCATTGAAGAGGAGTAAGAGACGACTGAAAAGCTACTGGAGGGCCACCACTATCAAGGTAATACAATCCACCTACCTCATGCCCTCCACCAATCTTCATCCCCGTCTTGAGATCCTGAAACACACAAGAAGAGGGATAAAAGGTTATGGAACAATTAAGTGACTWRGTTAATCTACTAACAGACATAAGGTTAAAGGGGAACTTGGGGACATATAAAACAAATGATAAAGACAAGGAGGAGAGATCAACATCACCAACACTATAGATGGGAGATGTAGAACCATTAGCAAGAGTAACTGTTTGAGATGTAGAGGACTAAGAAAGAGAAGAAAATACATTAGGAGACCCAGGCATATGGTCCGAGGCTCCGGAGTCAATGATCCAGTGAAGGCTTGGAAGCCAAGCAAGCCATACCTGAATGGGCAAGGGTAGCTGTGTTTTGCTGAGAAGATGTCTGAAGGAACTGTTCATATACTACATGGAGTACACTCACCATCTCCTTCCCAGAAACACCAGTAGATGTGGAGGGGATCGGGTCAGTTTGCTGACTTTCAGTAGTTGTACCACTACCCTTAGTCACAACATGGTTAGCCCAAGTATTGGGTGGGCCATGTAATTCATAGCGGAAATTAACTGTGTGCCCCTCTAATCCACAGTATGTACACTTCCTAGGGGCATTACTTCTTCCTTTACCACGACCTCCCCTTGAGTCCCGACCTCCACTTCGGCCACCAGCACGGTTAAACATGGGACCACCACAGTTACTTGGAAGTCCACGACCACCTCTATTTCCACGGCTTCCCCCTCTAGTCACCACAAAACCAGATCTGTCTGAGAGAGAAGAATGCTCTATAGACTCAATAGATGTCCTCCTAAGATGGGTAAAAACTTCTTCAAGTGAGGAAAGAACAGACCCCCCCAGTATTTGTGCTCGGACAGGCTCATATTCAGCTTTCAAACCCACCAGAAACCTTGTCACATCAAGTTGCTCACAATGTTGTTGCTGAATCTGAACATCCTGTGTCAGAGGATGATACACATTGAGCTCATTTCGGATATTCCTCAGACT